GTCTCTGGTGCCCTGTGTCTGGGAAGAAATTAGGTTATCCATTGCTTAAAGCAATTATCTCCCAGACAGAAAGAGCCTAATATAAAATCCTTCCAATAACACAATTAAACAGGCATAAACCCCCACCATGTGATACCCAGATAGCTCTGATCCCAGTACCCATGTTGGCATAGTCCGTATAACCGTGATCGCCTAGCTTGTTTCCTTAAAGGACCACTATAGTGCCAGGAAAACATACTCGTTTTCCTGGCACTATAGTGCCCTGAGGATGCCCACACCCACAGGGTCCCCCTCCCGCCGGGCTGGATGGCGAGGAAAGGGGTTAAACTTACCTTTTTTCCAGCACCGGGCGGGGAGCTCTCCTCCTCCTCTCCGCCTCCGATCCTCCTCTTCGGCTGAATGCGCATGTGCGGCAGGAGCTGCGCGCGCATTCAGCCTGTCTCATAGGAAAGCATTTATAATGCTTTCCTATGGACGCTTGCGTCTTCTCACTGTGATTTTCAAAGTGAGAATCACGCAAACGCCTCTAGCGGCTGTCAATGAGACAGCCACTAGAGGCTTTAGAGGCTGAATTAACCCAATTATAAATATAGCAGTTTCTCTGAAACTGCTATGTTTATAAAAAAAATGGTTGATCCTAGAGGGACCTGGCACCCAGACCACTTCATTAAGCTGAAGTGGTCTGGGTGCCTAGAGTGGTCCTTTAATCCTATTCAGCATTATTCAGATGCTCTTATCACCATGTCTAGATAGCCTGCCTAAGAATAAAAATGCCTATCACTCATAATGTTCAGCATTTTACCTCTGGCAAGATGTCTTACCAGCTAGAAATATTTAGACATGCTAGTTATACCTGTTTTCTTTCCCTTTACTATAAAAAGTGCAGTATTTCATGACATATCATGCTATGTCTATACCTTTTGCTTGATGACTATACTCATGAGGAATGTCTATGTACTCTTGTTTGTTACACTATGCACTACAAAAATAAAGAATATTAAAAAAAATAAAATTCTTTGATCTACTGAACGCGTTCTAGAACCTAAATATGCAGGGTCAATCTGCAATAAAGAAAAAAAACTTGTATTAGTTGCACTGTTATTGTACAATCCTTATGCCCGAATGAGGAATCAATGCCAAATGGAATGGTGAGCACCTAGACTATGGATTCCCCTGTGCTGTTCCAAAATTTTTTCCTGTATGTCTGAAGTGGAGGTTCACTACATGCTGACATCCCGTTGTAGAAGGTGTGTGGGAAGCCTCTTTTCTTTTACTCCTGCCTCACGGTATAGCTAGCCCTCCCACTACGGTGTAAATGTCAAGCAATCCTCGTGCAATGCTCGTGTACATTGCACCTTTGCGTTAGCTTCCTGAATTGCACCCTTCACAGAAAAGTGCTAATTTACAAAGGAACCCTGTTGAGGAGCATTGACTATGTAAGCAGCAACCCAAAGTGCAGCTTAGTGCCTGCCTGCTCTCCCAACCACTTTGACATGATTCATCTAATTTTTCAATATGTTTGCTGAAGTGTTCTTTTAATCCATTACTTCAGCATGTAGCTAGAGAGATTGATAGCCCTGCTGCCCTACAGATCCACTTCCAGCCAAACATGCTGCTAAGGTTGGGCCTCTTTCAGAAACTGGGGGCTGCCCTCAGTGTGCTGTCAAGGGGAGAAAGGCATGCTGGCCACTAGGGGAACTCCATAAAACTGTGGTCACTGACCTACAGGATGAGTCAGGAAGTTGTGGTGTAAACAAAAATCTCACTGATGCTCCAATTGCATAAATTAAATTATGTTATTCTGCTGCAGATAGAGAAGGACTTTTATGATTTTTTAAACATTAAAAATCAGCATTAAGTGCCTGTCCACTAACCACCAATCATCTTTTTTTTTGTGTGCTAACTCTTCATTGGACGGAAGATGCAGCCTACATGATTGGGTGGGCCTCTTGTCCATCATGGCAAACCTCTATTCCTTCCCCCTTTTTACCGGTGCTGGGAACGCCACTCTGCATTAAGAGCAGAAAATGTTCAGGCTTGTGCATGTCGACTACTATCAACCAGTTCAAGGGTATCACTTCCGGTTTCAGCTTGGAACACAGAGTTTTCTCCATGATTTGCACTTCGCCAGAAATGTCAGGCATCTCTTTCATATACTGAGTAAAATACATGCACCCCTTTGGGTGATGCCAGTCACAAAGTTTGTGTCACTGACATTCCCCCAGAGGCATCCTCTGTTATAGACAATGTCAGGGGCATTTTTTTTTTTACTTTTGATGTGCAGTTTGACCTGTATGTCTATTTACCTTTAAATTAACAGATTAGCACCCTTTACATTCTAAGACCCAATAATAAGGATAATTGTTTCCATGCTTACAGTAATTTTCTTTCATGCGCATTCAGCGGATGACGTCGGAAGAGGGAGGAGAGTCCCCAGCGCCAAGGGAGCCCGGCCCTGGAGAAAGGTAAGTGATTAACCCCTTAACCCCTCTTAAGCCCGGCGGGAGGGGAACCCTGAGGGTGGGGGGACCCAAATATCATATAGTACCAGGAAAACGAGTTTGTTTTCCTGGCACTATAGTGGTCCTTTAACTATTGATTGGATTTGCCCATGAACAGCAGAAAGGACAGGAAACAAACTCAAATGAAAATATAGGTTAGCCTCGTCCTGAAGAATTGTGGGAACATGGGGATTTACTGGGAAAAGAAAATTACAGTAAACATGAAATTTTTTTCTTTATTCCTGATCAATACATGGCAGCATTAACTACTGGGCAATAATGAAGCTAAGTAAGAAATTGGAGGGTCATATAAATAGTTAATAAATCACTTAAATGGTATTAAGACTCTTACACTAGGCATCACAAATCATGTCACAATTTGCAGGTGACACAAAGTTAGGTTAATAAAAAATGAAATCCTCAGCACACAGCATAAATGTAGTTTATTCAGGCACCATGGCTAGGCAATGTCTCAGCACTCCTGGTGCTTTTGTCAAGACAAAGAAGCCAGGAGTGCCAAAACATTGCCTAGCCATGGTGGCTGAATAAACTACCAATCACCTTTATGCTGTGAGCTGATGAGTATATTTTGTATTATTTTATGGTTTGGTAAACCTTATCTGCAGCACAAGCACCTAAATATAGGTTTTCATTGGAGTATTTTTCTATTGGATATACTGTACAAAGCTAGGTTAAGTAATACCATGAGAACAAGTTACTTCCCTACAGGGTGCTTTGAATTAAGAAGATAACTAGCAGTGGTGTTACGAGGCATTTTACTGGATATTGTTTATTTATAACAGTGTGAGCATAGGATGCACTGAGCACAACAGCAGCACTTGTATATGCATTTGATAAGCCTTTTTTTTTAAAAAAAAATAATATGCATTATATTTCTTATACATTATCTTGTTGTGACCATAATTAATTACATCAGCATATGTGTTTTTTTAATGAAAATTAGACCATCAGTGTCAATCATTAATTGCTGCAATTTCATTTTTTGAAAGTATTCCCCAATGTTATCATACAATGTTTTGGTAAGAGCAAAGATAAATTAATCTCATAGGAATAAAAACAAACTTTATGGAAACATAAAATCCTGATAGAAATTAACTCCCAAGACAATGGAGATGATTATCTATTCCGTAAGGTATTCCAATTTATACACATACTTTGTTAACAACACACACAAATGTTATGCATGTTCATCATTAACTTAATAATTGTAAATCAGCCTTAGGGGTCATTATTTTACTGTAAATTCATCAATTAATGTTAGCATTTCTGTTGACAGAAGATGATGGCTACATGGAAAAATACTAATAGTAAGGGGTGTTTATGCTAAACAGTGGATAGCAAAGATTTGATGGTTAATTAGCAGAATTACGTACAAAACAAATTAATCATAATAGGTTTAAAAGTTTCAGGCATGTCACTTATATATCATAACTGATTAGAGTATAAAACATACATTTTGTTTAACATTTTGTATCATGTTTTGCATGACCAACATATACCTTTGTGATCCTTTATCTCCTTGCACTCTGAAGGGTGATCCTGAGTCTCCGCTACCTTGGAGTTCGGGTACATGACTTCAGTGTCTCCACCCAATGGGGCATCCAGGTTATCCGGCTTCTGCCAAGAACATATCTTGGTGAGCAATAAAAACTGGCACAGAGCTAACTTAACCCCTTAGTGACCAGACCATTTTCCCATTTTGTTTTACTATTAAGGACCAGGGCTGTTTTTACATTTCTGCTGTATTTGTGTTTAGCTGTAATTTTCCTTTTATTAATTTACTGTACCCACACATCTTATATACAGGTTTTCTCACCATTAAATGGTCTTTCTAAATACACCATTATTTTCATCATATCATATAATTTACTATAAAGAAATTATAAAATATGATGAAACAATTTCAAAAAACACACCTTTTTAACTTTGACCCAAAAATCTGTTACGTATCTACAACTGCCAAAATCCAACCATGCTAAATAGTTTCTAAATTTTGTCCTGAGTTTAGATATACCCAATGTTAACATGTTGTTAGCAGTTTTTTTGGCAAGTTATAGGGCTATAAGTACAAGTAGGACATTGCTGTTTCAAAATATATTTTTAAAATTTATCAATAGTGACATTGTAATACTGTTATTTGTCATAAATCTCTGAATCACACCTCACATGAACATATTTTTTTTAAAGTAGACAACCCAGGGTATTCAATATATGGTATATCCAGTTATTTTTTAGTAGCCACTTAGTCACAAACACTGGCCAAAGTTAGCATTTATATTTGTTTGTGTGTTAAAAAATGCAAAAAACAATTATAAATGCTAACTTTGGCCAGTGTTTGTGACTAAGTGGCTACTAAAAAAGACTGAACATACCCCATTTGCAATACCTTGGGTTGTCTTCTTTTGCAAATGGTATGCCATCATTGGGGTAATTCTCATTCCTGGGCTACCATACGCTCTCAAAGGCAACATAACCAATCTGTCAAATTTCAATGTGAAAAAACAGAAAATAAAGCCTTATATTTGACCCTGTAACTTTCAAAAACCTGTACATGGGGGGTACTGTTATACTCGGGAGACTTTGACGTTTCAGTCTTGATAAAAATCCAGTGGGACTGAAACGTCGACACTCTGTATCCAAAGATTTGATGCTTAAATAAAAAGCACTATTTGAAAAACATTTTGAGTCCATTGAGTGCTCTCCATCAAGATATCATACATATTTAAGCCGGGGATTGCACCAAGGCAACAACAAGACCGGGAACTGTGAGTGCGGGACACGTGGATTTGTATATATATATATATATATATATATATATATATACACACATATATTTTCATTCTGTATTTAATATCAAAATACAGTTAGAATAAAATTACATATATATATATATATATATATATATATATATATTTATTTATTTTTTATTATTTTTACATTTTTGTATTTATGTTTATGTACTTATTATTTAAATTTTATAATATATATATATATATACACAATACATATAGTTATTATATATGTTATATATATATATATATATATATACACATGTGTAATTTAATTAAAAATCTATTTTTATATTAATATATGTATATATTAATATAAAAATACACTTAGTATGACATTATATATATATATATATATATATATATATATAAGATATATACTGTGTGACGAGACTAATCTCGCCACTGTGCATTGGAGGAGCCTGGTTGCCTGCCTGCCTGCTGCCTTTAGACTATGGCCCCATGTTGAAAAACACGAAAGCCGGGTCATTCGGTGCTGGCCCTGTTTGAGCGGTGATACCCCAGATAGCTATGCCATGGAGCCCATTTGTATAATGAAAGACTATTGGAAAGACTTTGGCTCCATGGCAATTGAACTGTATGTGTGTGCTCTGAGCGCCATTCAGTAATAATGTGCACTCAGATCTGAGCTATCTGGGGATATGTTGAATTTACCTGTTTTGTGCAATGGCTGCACAGTTATATGTTTTTATGTGTTTTATTTTCTTTTGCTGCCATGTGTTCAATGGAGTTTTGCCTCTGTCCTTGGAGATAATTGGATTACTTCCCAAATATCTCCAGGATAGAAGACTCTGTGTAACTGGTTTTGGGCAGAAAAGCCATGCTTCCTTTGGTCACAAAGGACTACGATCTATCTTTTGAACCACTGGACCAATTTGGATGATTTTGACATATGTTTGTATTTGGAGTATGCTGATTCTGAAAATGTAAGTTTATGTGATGAATACTTTTCAAGTTAAGAATAATGTGGAAAAATTGTATTTCTCTGCTTGTGATAATTACATTACCCATTGTGTAAGGTAATTGTATCACAGGCAGAGGGGAGTGTCTGAGTGTATTGTATGTGTTTATTGGTTGTGTTCCAAAACCCTGTGGGTGGTACTAATGTGTATATAAGAACAATAAACCCACAGCTCTGTCTGTTCACTGCTTGACCCTCAACACGGAGCCTTGTCTCGTTCTTGGGGGGATTTATTGTATGCTGTTCCAGTTTGACTGCTAGGAGTGTAAACCTATTCGTATAGTTTTTCCTATTTGGCTGTTTATGGCATTCATATGGTTTCCTATTCGGCGGATTGGTGTCTTTGGTAGCTGCCTGTATATCTGGAAGGGGAATATCCTCTAAACGGTGGTTTAACCCCTTTTATGCCCGGGGGTGCCGTTACATACTGTATACATGGTCTTGTGAAGGATTTGGGAATTGTTATAGAAAACAAATTAGGCAACAATATGCAATGTCAATCTGCAGTTGCTAATGCCAGTAAGGTTTTGTCATGTATAATTAGGGGCATAAATTCCCGCGATGAAAATATAATTTTGCATCTTTATAAATTGCAGGTAAGACCTCACCTTGAATATGCTGTGCAATTTTGGGCACCTGTACTTAATAAGGATATCATGGCACTAGAAAAAGTGCAGATACGAGCTACAAAATTGATAAAAGTAATGGAGCGTTTTAGTTATGAAGAAAGGTTAAAAAATTTAAATCTCTTTAGTTTGGAAAAACGGCGCTTCACAGGGGATATGATAACATTACACAAATATATTCGGGGCCAGTACAAACCATTATATGGAAATCTATTCATAAACAGGGCTACACATAGGACACAAGGTCACACATTTAGGCTGGAAGAAATAAGATTTCATCTAAGACAAAGAAACTTTTTTTTTACAGTAAGAGCAATAAGGATATGGCATTCTTTGCCTGAAGAGGTGGTTTTATCAGAGTCCATACAGATGTTTAAACTACCATTGGATAAATACTTGGAAAAGCATAACACACAGGGATATCATTTCTAATAAGTGGGGTAACAGCTGCTTGATCCAAGGAGATATTTGACTGCTATTTTGGGCTCAAGAATGAACTTTTTCCTAGTTTGTTGCAAAATTGGAAGCGCTTCAGAGTGGGTTTTTTGCCTTTTTTTGGATCAACAGCAAAAACATATGTGAGGAAGGCTGAACTTGATTGACGCAAGTCTCTTTTCAGCTATGTAACTATGTAACTTTGTACTATGTAACTATATACATATTATATATAGATATAATATATGTATACATATATTTATTTTTTTATTTACTAATATTTTTTTTTATATTTCCAGAAGCAGGGAGACTGTCTGTCAGTTTAGGCAGTGCCCCAGCAGTCAGCACTATGGACGCCTATTGCGGCCATATGACCGCTCTTTCACATGGCCTAATTTGCCGAGGGTGGACTGTCTGGGCTGTCAGGAAGTCCCTCCAGACCGAGAGGAACACCGGTCGCCGCCATTTCCCTGGATAAGTTGTAACGGATCGCCTGGCACCCCGACTGGGTACCTCCGTTGAAGGATGCTCCTAGCGCTTCCTGAGGACTCCAAGCACTCTGGCAGACACCACAATCACCGAACCGGAGAAACAAATAAATTCTCCCAAGCATATGAATGCTGTAGACAGTTGAATAGGAAACCATACGAATAGGTTTACTCTCCTAGCAGTCAAACTGGAACAGCATACAATAAATCCTTCCCCCAATAATGAGACGACACTTCACTTTGAGGGTTAAAACAGGAACTGGCACATACAGCCTCTTTTATTCCCAATCCACAAATTTAGTACTGCCCACAGGGTTTTACAGAACAACCAATCAATCTGTACAATACACACAGACACTCCCACACAAAATCCTCCCCTCTGCCTGTAATACAATTACCCCTCTGCCTGTAATACAAGGATATAACAGTTAAATAAGTGCAGTAAAATAGTGCAATAGGCAATGAACTGTACCCACCCACAACCAATACTTCACCCTTGTGGCAGTCAGAAACCATTATTTTGTTATCCACAATGTAGCTTGGTTTTTACTGAAATCTTCCCCATGTCAGTAAAACTGGCAAATTGTGTAAATCGTTTCAAGGTGTCCTGTTGTGAAACAGGGGAGAGATGTTTAGCTTTCTAGTTCAGTATGCAATCAGGTCAGTTCAGGAAGGGGAATACCTACTTCTTTAATTGCTGTTACTGTTTCTGCCTGCCCCTGCCCTTTTCTTTACTTCCTTTGAATTTCACACTGTCTGCCTTGTTAAGCCCACTCCTCCTAAGAATTGCCATCATCTACCCCCCCTTAACCCTCCCTCCCCCCTCGGTCATCCTAGACTACTTATTGTACACTTTTCTTCCTGGCTACCCCACTTTCTCTACTCTTGCACTCCCTCCCTCATACTTGGGGACTTTAACATCACCATCAACAACCTCAGCTGCCCTGATGCCTCCCGTCTGCTCTCCGCAACCTCCTCCTTTGACCTCACGCAGTTGTCTACTTCAGCAACTCATGCAGCAGGAAACACTCTTGACCTCATCTTCACCAATCTCTCTACCACCTCTAATCTCTCCACTGTTCCATTTCCTTTGTCTAACCACCATCTTCTAAAATTTGACATCAGCATACCCCATACCCAAATTTCACCACCCTGTCCTTGGTCCCACTCAACTCTTCAACCTCGCAGAATCCTCAACTGCCTTGATCTCCAGCATTTCTCCACCAAGCTCCAAACTCTCCTTTTACCCATCTCAAATCTATCTTGCCCTAACACTCTACAACTCAACTCTCTCCTCTCAACTCAACATCATGGCACCTCCTACAATTAAATGGAGCAAGCGCCCCCAATTACAACCCTGGCACACCAAGCTGACCCGTTACCGCCAAAAATGTTCCAGAACTGCTGAATGCTGCTGGAGAAAGTCTCACTTTGCATCTGACTTCCTCCACTATAAATTTATGCTGCGCTCTTACAGCCTGGCTCTTTCCGCTGCAAAAGTAAATTACTTTAACACCCTTATAAGTACATTTTCCTATCAACCCAAACACCTATTTCACACTTTTGATGCTCTTCTATGCATCCCTTACACACAAACACACAATGCATCCTTTGCACATACTGAAACTCACAATTAATCTCTTACACACACACACACACAGAAACAAACAATGCATTCCTTACACATGAACACACTACATGTTTTCCTTACACACAGACACAATTCATACACTATGCACACAAACTGCATCCACTATACACACACTAGATCTACTATATGCAAACACATCCTCCCTTTATATATATATATATATATATATATATATATATATATATATATACACATATATAAAACAAAAATAATAAATAAATAAATTGAAAAACATAAACAATTATAAAAAAAATAATATTAAATAAAAAAATTAAAAATTATATACCGGTTTAAATTTATTCTAACTATATTTTGATATTAATATACATATATATTTAAATCAAAATACATTTAGAATGACATTATAAATACAACTATGCCCTTAACAACCGTGGACATACTAGATACGTCTGACAAAAAATAGTTTGTTAAATAGGAGTTAAATTATTTATGTCATATTGGGAAAAACTATTTATATATGATGGACATGGCTGGGGTGAGAGCTTGGTCACCTATGGTCATTATATTGATGATATATATATATTTTTTTATTTGGAAAGGAGGAGTTCAGCTTCTAAAATAATTTTTAGCTTATTTGAATTTGAATACATGGGGGATTAACCTTACCAGTACCTGGAGCGAGCAAGAAATATATTTTTTAGACCTGACTATTTTTATAGAAGGAGGAAAGATAAAGACAAAAAATGTTTTCAAAGCGGTAGATGCTTATAGTTTTATAGAAAGGGAAAGTTGCCATTTTAATCCATGGTTGGAGAATGCCCCTAAAGGTCAATTTCTCCGCATTAGGCAAAA